ATGTTTAGTTATTCCTCTGCCTCCTTTAGTGATAATGGTACATGTATTAAGTGTAGTTTATTTACTTCATTTATCATCAGCCACTATAGTTAGCCAGCCCCCAGTAGCCGGTGCGGGCCGACCGAAGGTAGCTTCTGTTAGCCGTCCCCCGGTAGTTCCCGAGCAGCCGGGAAGCCAGGGAGGCTGGGTGACTGAACGGAGGTGTGATAAGCTGTTTAAGATCAAGTAAGGTGAAGAGGGGACAATATGAAATGAAAAATGATAAATATTATACCCAGATATGCTTGATTTTACTGCTCTGCGTTACTGATATGTGGAGGTGCAAGGAGTGCAGTGTATCTTTTTCTAATAGATATGATCTACTTAAACATTTAAGACTACAGCACCACCATAGGCAACGTTACTCATGCCCATATCTAAACTGTCCATGCAATTTTAAGACACTAAATGCTTTGCACATACATTTAAGTAGAGTTCATCCTAAGCAACCTTGTCAGGAGCTCCTGGAAGTGAAAACATTTAGTTTTCCTTTGTGCAATTGTAGCAATCTTTCTCTTTCTTCAAGCAATCTTTAGAGAGGGATTTTTTCATACATATCATGTCGAGTCATGAAACTGTTACCTGTATGTTTGGGGATTGTACTTTCAAAACAAATATCTATGGAACTTTTCACTCCCACAAGAACAGGAAACACAACCCTCATACAATAAATGATTTTAAACCAGGTATAGTGACAACAACCAGAATTTCACAAGAATCATCTGACAGTGCAGAGGAAGATGCACTTAACCAAGATGACTCTGCAGTGGAATTAAACAGTGCATCTCCAAGTAATGATGTGGACATAAGCAAGACCCTGCCTGACATAATTGAGCAGAACTTTGCCGCAGCTTTACTCAAACTAGAACATTTTGCACATGTGCCAGGCACAAAAATTGATGAGTTTCTAGAGGAACTGCACTATTTGTTACGCTCAGCCACATTTCCTCTCTCTGTAAACATTATTGAAGCTGTGTTTCAAAAACATGGTTCCATACCTGACAAGTCAGTGATAAAAGAAGTAGCCACAGCCCTTTCCATGTCTAACCCCTTGCTAAAAGCTATAGAGAAGGGTGGCTCTTTGAGCACATCATATCTCCGAAACAAGTTTGACAGAGAAAACTTCAATGTCATAGAGCCCATTGAGTACATGCTCAATGAAAGGGACAAGAAAAGCTTTCAGTACATGCCTTTACTGAAGAGCTTGCAACAGCTCTTCGATAGGAAAAATGTTGTGGATAAAGTTGTTGAAAACCACAGAGCACATCTTGGGAAAACTGGAGAACAGTGTACTTATAAATCATTTCAGGATGGCTCACACTTTAAGGAAAATGGTTTTCTTTCAGGGGGTGAGTTGAGAATCTTGCTAACTATGTACATTGATGATTTCAAGGTATGCAATCCCCTGGGTACTTCACGCAGGAAACATAAGCTCACTGGTATCTACTGGACTCTGGGTAATTTGCCTCCAGGCTCACATTCAGCACTGACCTCAATTTACCTAGCAATCTTGTGCAAATCTGATGATGTGAAGAAGTATGGTTATGACTGTGTCTTGCATCCTCTTCTTCAAGATGTTAAAACCCTTGAGCAGGATGGAATTTTTGTTCCATTGCTTGGTAAATGTGTTAAAGGCACAATTCAGGTTGTTGCTGCAGATAACCTCGGTGCTCATAGTATAGCAGGTTTTAATGAAAGCTTTACTGGTGGAAACATCTGCCGATTCTGCACAGCAACACGAGCAGAGATCCAAACAAGAGACGTGAGATCAGATTCATTTGATCTCAGGACTATAGAACTACATGACTCCCATGTAAATTCAGCACAGCAGAACAGTTTGAGCTGTTTTGGGGTGAAAAGACAGTGTGTAATCACTAAGAACCTTGCCCACTTCAGTGTTCTAACAGGTTATTCGCCAGATATCATGCATGATGTGTTTGAGGGCATTGTGCCTGTGGAGCTTGCGCATTGTTTGTCACTGCTGATATCGAAGAAATATTTTAGTCTTGAGCTACTTAACAAATCTATCCTTAGTTTTACCTACAAGTGGTCCGACAAGACTAACAGGCCTCACCTGATCCCACACACATTCTCAAAAACAATCGGGGGGAATGCTCATGAGAACTGGGCACTGCTAAGATTTCTCCCATTCATCATTGGGCATCTGGTGCCAGAAGATGAAATGGCATGGCAAATTCTAATGGTTTTAAAAGATGTTGTAGAGCTGGTGATTGCTCCAACACATACAGAAGACTCCATTGCGTACCTTGAGTGCAAAATTTCAGAGCACCGCAAAAGATACCAAGAACTCTTTCCTAATGTGCAGCTTCTACCCAAACATCATTACTTAGAGCACTATCCTGCACTCATCAGGAAGTTTGGTCCTCTTGTTGGTCTCTGGACGATGCGATTCGAGGCTAAACATAGTTTTTTTAAGCACGTCATTCGACACTCAAACTGCTTCAAAAATGTGCCCCTCTCGCTAGCTTCTAAGCATCAGCTCATGATTTCTTATCACATGAGAGCATCTAGTTTTGAAAAGCCTGTTCTTGAGATGACAAATGTCTCAACAGTTCCTGTTGATGTTTTAAAAAAAGAAATTGTTGTGAATATTGAAGAAAAATTTCCTGGTACCAGAGAGGTACACATAACTAGATCTGTGTCAACCAAAGGTGTAAGTTTCAAAAAGGGCATGATTGTAGCTCACGGGTCTACAAGTGGACTTCCTGGCTTTGGACAGATTGTCCACATTTTTGTTATTCAGACTGAGAGACTGTTTTTCATGGTTAAGAGACTTTGTGGGTGGTATAGTGAGCATCACAGAGCCTTTGAGCTCACGGCATGTCCAACCAAAGACATAGATCTGATTGAGCTTAGTGACCTAGCAGAGGACTACCCTTTGGCAGACTTCTTTGTTGCATCTCTCAGAATGGTGACATTAAAAAGACACATACATGTATAAGGTATGATGACATTCTGACTTCAAATTTAATGTTAATTGGATTGTCATTGGAATTAAAAAAGAGCTGTAATTATTTCACACGTTATAGATTAATCAAAAGAATGCTTAAACTAGCCTGAAAATAGATGATCTGGTGAAGAAAAATTTAATGCAAAAACTACATTAAACTGGAAATATCATGAACTTCTGCTTAATGACATTGGAAAAAGTAACCTTGCAGCATCTTTTGACCCTGCAGTGCTTTTGTTTATTTTAACCAAGATATTTTGATCAATTTGTTACACACTGTAGTTTCTTATTAAATGAGACTCTTAGCTTTCTGTCTGTAATACGTTTTATGTTTTCACTATGTTTGTTTTTATTCACAGATTGTTGTGAAATGGCTGCTCCAGTGAAGCTCAGAATTATCCTCGGAGAAAAGGATTCCCAGAGACTTACCCTGCAAGATGGAATTCCAGAGACTGTTGGTGAACTTGTTCAGCACATAAAGAGGCAGTGTGGGGTAGAATCCCACTTCGGGCTGCAATTTATGGATGCTGAGTTTGGTAATGAATTTACCAACTTGACTTCAGTGTCAGAGATCCAGGACAAAGGTACCTTAAAGCTCATCTTTGATTCAGCTGCCCCTGCCCTGCCTAGTGGCTCAGCACCCCCTCCACCCCACTCCACTCCTGCTACATCATGGAGTAGTAATGAGTCATCACTTTCATCTGGTAGCTTATGTTCTGTTCTTAACCTGGATGTCTGTGACGCTTTTTTCTCGGATCATATGCCTGTACTT